CCCGGCACAGAGAGGCGCACTCGTTCGGTGTCTGAATCTTTATTAGAACAATCCCCAAGAGCTGTAAAACAGTGAATTAATAACAAAGTCAAATACGAAACGGTTCAGTTATCAAAGGTATTTAAACAAGACGTTCCCCTTTCTGCATGGCAGAAGCAAACAGGTTTTAGAGCCCAAACGATCGCCCTCATGTTAATTTGGTTTTGGCAAGATAATAATGTAACCTCGGTAATCACGTTAATGAAACATTAACCTCCCTTCCATTTCCTAAACCGTAAAGAGCCTTTTTTTGGATTTTACAACTCATTATTTGGGACAAATACACGTGGAGTCTGTGTAGCATAAACGGACAACTTTAATGTTAGTAGCACTAGTGTTACTTAAACATGGAGAAACAATTATCTTTCTAATTTGATTACAGCGCAGTACAAATTATGTATTACCTCAAAAATCATCGCCTGTATCAAAAGTTAAAAAATTCAGAATAATTTATAAAACACTTCCAGAATAGCAAATTATCAGTCTCAAAATGGAGAATGACCTCCATGCCTAGGGACAGGCCCACAGCCATGTGGCAGCACCGTGCCGCAGTCACCAGCGTTTCTCGTTCTGCTGGACGCAGCCAGAGCCCCAATCGCCCCGCGGTTACACAGGGACAAGTCGTGGGATCGTTGCAACCCAAAGCAGGAGAGGCCCTGCTCAGTTCACTACACCGTAAATTAAAGCTATGAAAGAATCTGCTACTAAAAACGGAACAGTCCTGCACTGTCTTTATTTAACCCTTTGCAACGCCACAACTGTCACGCATTTTCTCCTGGACCAAGCCGTCTACTTCCATGGCCTGACAACAGCAACAGGGGAAGGGTGTGTGCTGCGTCACGCAGCTCAAAAACATCCGACGTCTTTTCTACAATCTGTTTTATATCAGTTAATTCTAAATACTGTTTTTCCTAGCTCGCCTTTTCTGTTGCGTAGTCTACATGGTGTGAATAAACTTCAAAGTATAAGCCAGGTAAAATAACAGCCAGTAAGGCACTTGGTCAGAGAGGACACAGCCGTCCAGGATGAGCAATCGGTCAAGGGGAGACATTCTATGTTACCCAAACCAGCCAGTCTATTCCTCATAACCACTTCTCTGACAACCCAGCTGTAGAAGAATACCTAGTGACTGTCCCAGAACCAGCCTGACATTGCATCCGCCAAAATCTTTTTGCTGTTCCACAGTAGAACGTGCAACAGTAACACATCTCCTACTTGTCACTACTAATGTTTCAGACTAGTCAGCATCCTTGAAACACCCAAGAATGAGCTGCTGAATACGGCTTGGGAAAAAAAAAACCCTCAGCAAAAGAAATCCCATCTTTCTTCTGTCTTTGTTCTGTTTCTGGGGTCACTTTTTTTTTTTTTTTTTTTTTTTCTTTTTTTTTTTTACAAAATTTGAAGGCTTGACATCAAAACTTTGGTATAAAACATGTAAATGAAGCCATCCATTAATCTGTCGTAGGGAGACACAATGAATCCAACCAGAACTGAACCAAACATGATGGCATGAATAGGGTAGCGAGTGTTTTCTGCTCTTGGTTTCTACGTTCTGCCTGTTCAAGATCTTCAAAAGGTCTTTCTAGGCATGTGAAAGGGCCATCCTGCAGAGCCACCCTGCCTTCCCAAAGCTGCTCCCCAGAGAGGAGGTATCCAGCCGAGGGCCGGGCAGGACCATGACCTGCTGAGCCTCTCGCCAGCAGCAGCTCGATGGGCTCCAGCCAGGTTCTCAGTCCTGACGTCTCCTCCTCCACCAGGCCGCCAGCCCTCCGCCACCCGTGTCACGGGGCTGGCCTGCGCCTCATGGAATGGGTGGCACTCTGCCACCGCCTCCGTGGGCTCAGGAGGAACACACGTGCGACATTTTACCATGTTACAGATAGCCACTGTTCCACTCTCTAAAGTGAAGAACAGAATTGTAAATTTTATCCTAAATCAAGCAACAAAGTAAATGTCCAAATCCTTAGATGTCACTACTAGTACCTCCTCTGCGGGGCAAGTCTGCAGACGGGCCCACAGGACTAGTTAGGAATCATTATCATAAGTTAGTCTTAAAATATTTTAAGTGATTCTTTCCCAAGTAAACACTTGCATTAATTTCTATTTAATTCATTAATAGGAATTTATTTTTTAAAAGCCAATTTTAATATTAAATAATTATGATTTATTTATTCAATTTATTGATTACAAAATCTACATGGTATTGCTTTGTATTTTCACAGTTCTCATAATTATATCATTAAGAAAATGGCTTTTAGATTTTCTTCTCAGAAATGATGATCACTTACATTCTAAATAATTTCACAAAATAGTGAGTGGAGCAAATTTATACATATATATATTTACTGTATATAAATAATAATACAATTTAAAACTTTCACTTTTAGAAATTCCTTTAGTAAATGCATAGGTTTGTTACAAAAGTCTTCTAATCAAATAACTGTATACTATTTCTATTATGTTTTATTCCTAGTAAACTCTATGGTTACATTCATATGATAAAAAAAGCACGCTGCATTCAGAAATACGCGTTTTCAGTTGAGCTCCCAGTAAGACACTCAAATCTAATAGAAATATAGATTACTCAATGCAGTTTCTTCAGCTGCAAACTAATTACACAGTAGTATCTAAAAAAAAAACCAAACCAGCTTTAGCACACGGACTGTAATCAGACCAGCAGCTTTTTAAATCACAGAATGGTGACACATACCCCGAAAAGTTACTGACTTAACTCTCAGAAGAGATTAGAGTAATAGGGGGGTTGTATACTCGATGCCATGCATATAATGAGAAAGAAATGATGAAAAACTTCATCAGTTAAGAGTGTGATTTTTTTCTGAAGGTAGGTTTCTCAGCCCTTTCTGAAAGTCAGGTTTACTCTAGGGTATCTCAAGAGGGGTGGTCAAAAGCGGAAGTTGCCCACGGTCAGTAGTTACGTTTGAAATTGTAGGCCTTTGTGTTACGCTATTTGAGTCCTAAACTGAACCCACTCATTTCTGCTTCAGGAAAAGGGCTACAGTGCCTGCTGGATCACAAAGAATGCACACGAGTATCCTGGCACTCACACCTCAGTTCACAGGATTTCTAGATCCTACCATGCCCATGACTACGAGCACATGGGTGGCAATCACTTGTGCATCAACACGACCCCAGACCTGTTGCATGAAGGACAGTATTTCTGCCTTTGCAGTGACTGCAATCTTCACAAACTGGAGCCGTAAGTGACAGAGCAAAATCACTTTGGGATGTGGATCGTCAGTAGATTTTCCCCGGAAACTTGCATTTAAATCATCTGGAAAAGATTTTGCTTTTCTATTTGTGACACCAGTGGACTCCTGGGGCTAGAAAAGTTTTTCCAGGCACTGAACTCCTTGTAACAGATCTGGCAGAGGTATGGCACATGCCACTCCCAGAAAGCAGACAGTAACGGAATACCTTATTCAGTACGGTGGGCTCCACAAAAACCAGGGACAGGCCTCAGTACGGTTGGGTCTTTGGGCATCCACCAGACTACCAAATTAAAACCTTTTCAGCTCAGCTTATGGCAGTAACAGACTTGAGAACTACTCCAGTGTAAGACTTTTCCCATGAGCAGAGCTGTTACTGACCTCAGTGACAGTTCTACTAATGGAATATTCATGTGCTTTCTACTAATAGATTCTGTACTAACGACTGGGCAAATTCAATAATCAAAAAGCAAATTAAATCTTTTGGAGCATCTTTTAGTAGGTAAATAATTCATCCTGTATCATGAGAAGACTCGAGTTCAATGTCTCAATACCTTACTGTGTGAGCCACTGAGAGCCAAGACCCGCAGAAAGAGCACACCAGGCCCTCAGCACCCACACGGTGATTGCAGTGTCTCGTGGAGAAGCCCTTCTGAGCTAGGCAGAGACAATGGAATTTCTTGTGCACATATACAGCCAAGACTTTCTTCCAACGAAAAAAAGACTGCATTTGGTTTTCCTTACAGCGAAGCTCAACTTCCTCATAATGCAGAACACAATCAGAGGCTCGTTAGCAATAGGGGGATATTAACACAAGTGCTTCTCTCTTAGACATCAGCTAAAAATGATACATTCACCATCTTGTACCAGATGAAACCTCATTTGTGTGAGCCACAAATCACTTCAAGTGCAGTGGGACCTTCTCTCAGTTTTACCATCTTTCAAGCACAACCCACAGAAAACTTTACTTTAAGCAGTATCAACTACAGCCTTCTCTGAATACCTTCTTTGGGACCTGCAGGGTACCATCATTTCTTAAAAGACACAGTTGTGGATGTGATTAAAATATCACTACGTTTTTCATTGGGAATCATTAATGCATGTATAATCACAGTTTAAATAGCTGTGAACCAGCTCGTACAAAAAAATACAATCATAGCACCATATTTACAAATTTAGTACCATCTCCTCGTTAACTAGAGAGTCTTGAACTATCTTTTTATGGCTAATTAGGTTATATGTTAGTGCTTTCAAAAAATCGCCTGAATTTCTTTTACAAATATACACTTATAAAAAGAAACATTATCAAAACTGCTGTCATCTCAGGCAGCAACTTGTGTTACAAAAGTTATTAAAACACCATTATAGACTTAAAAAAGCTTCAGATTTACATTTTCCTTTTCATAGGCACTCTATAAATTAAAACGTGGCCTTGTTTTCACAGCTGTTAGTTTAAGCATTTAAACTAGTTAAACGTTACCAATGTTGCTCATTTTTTTAGATACAAGCAAAAGGAAAAAAGAATCACCCATTAACCAGAAGCATCATTTACAGTTTTTACTTTTGCCTACTTTATACACGTTTTGCTTAAAAATGACACTGTTTTGATGTTGAGGTTTAGTGTATGTTATCCAACTGCCTTCTTAGGGCTTAGTTCCTTCTTCCCTAGAATTCGGTGAAGGCTAGCTGACATGAAGTAGGGTTTTGCTGTAGATCCATCATTTCTTTCAAGGTCTTCACCTGAATTTACACAGCAAAAACAGCCAAAAGAGCAAACAGCAGTACAACCATGCACGCGCGCACGCACACACACACAGGGAATTGAAGAGAGGAGAGAGCAAAAGACCCAATATTAAAAAAAAAAAACTCAATTAAGGCAATTTAGCTGTATTGTTAACTTGATGAAGAACACTATAACATTTCCATTTTTTTTCAAACCAGAAGAGGTTTTACAGAAAGCAGAGACACAAACATCCAGCCATTTTTAAAAGACAGCAATATGTCTTTTTTATTCTCCAGTTCTTTGGTTTGACCATATAGGTAGAAATTTTCAGAAACATGTCTCCACCGAAGCCTGGCATTTTGGCTACTTGCTAGAAAATTTGTCCCAAAGACAGCTGCAGACTTAAGCACTTTTTAAAACTGGGCCCTTTTTCACTGCCTAAGATAAAGTTATTTTGAAAATCTGATGCCACAAGTGCACAATATTCTCTATGATCTCTACTGTCCATTACTGAATGGAAGCATGCGAAGCAAAACAGGATATGAATTTAAAATAATGAGGCAGATTTCCTGCAGAAGGTCAGGACTAAATCACCAGTCTGCCTTCAGCCCACTGTTTATGCCACGCAGTAGTCACAGACCAGTGAACAACTGCCCACTGATGGGCAATCTGGAGGGAGTGTGCAGTGAAGCACAGTCATTGCAACATCAGCCCTGCAGAGGCAGACAGCTGTATCTGCAAAGCCAAAAAGAGAGTGCTAGTCATAAGGAATGGCCAAAGAGGTTAGAGGAAGCAAACCTTTGTATATCTCCATGGCAACACATACCATCTTTGGAATAAACTAAAAGAAAATCTCTTAATTTTTGAGTGCAATAAACTTTCTAAATTTTATTAGTTTGATCAATTTCCTTTTCATTCTAAAATATAGTAATAATTTATTTATGGTTTAGCTTATTTCTTGGAGTGTTATTAGTGCCATGTCTGCCTGTGATCACATTTGTTTAGAACTAAAGTCCACAACTCAAATAGGACGTAGCTCTCAACTAGACAAAAATTTTCAGTTTTCTGACCAATTTCGTTCCTGTGATTCTTTGGCAACCCAGTATTTCCAGAATCACTGCTAACTTTCATTCCTAGGGAAGCAGGGTGAAGATGAGCGTTTAAAGGAAAGAAAGAATTTATGCTATGGTAAGAGGAGAATCAGTATTACCATGTTTATCTTGCCTCAGTGATCCACTGTGCCTATGATAGATCAAGAATTCTGTAAGGAACGGGTAAGGTGGTTTTCTACTCTTGACATGACTTGCAGGTATTAGTAAAAGAAAACATAGTACTTACAAAAGCAGAGGAAAAGCGTGTCGACACACATTGCATAGACGCTGAAGAACCCATGTGCAACTAGGTAGGAGCCAATAATCACGGTCTACAAAAAACAAGCCACAATAAAACCCCAAATTTAGTTTGGCACCAATGTGGCAGTGTTAACACAAGTCAGAAGCCTAGTCTGCTAAGCAAATTTGGGAGGATTTAATGGCAGCTCTGTAATTCTACCAAAGGTTACTACTGCAGTGGAAAGAGATCACTGGTTCAAGACACCGTATACCGTAACATGCAGTAACCACTAGTTTTCCAGCTGCCAAACTGGAGCCATTTCAACCCCCAAAGAGAATATATTCCAAGAATACTCTGAGCTCCTTTATTCTAAAGAACCACTCATCCTGGAGATGTTCCAGAGTCTAGCGGAGGGGCTACAAAAGGAGAAAGAGATGCACCACAAGCCCCTTCCATTAGAAGCCACGCTGTTATCAGTGCCTCACCACCAGCCTTTGCTGTCTGGGAAGTCTGAGCAAAGCAGATGTGAAACTTAATTCTTCTGAAAGTGCAGAGTCACTGTAATGCCACTTCTGCCTGAAGGATTCAGAGCATTAGAGTGTAGCAGATCAGTCCTCACTTCAGTGGATAGTATGCCACTGAGAGGATGACAACAGGAGCTGTTACCAGACCATGCCCTGAGTAGTCTGAGCACCCCAAACTGCCCTTAGTGTTCAGGAGATTAGATGGTTGCCTTACCAACAATGGTACCCAGTAGTAATTCAATGTTGGTGCTTCCTGTGCAAAGACTGGTATTCTCTGTGTGAAGAAAAAGAATGCAAGAACACCTGCAAGAAGCACAAAGATTAGTGATTCCTATGCTAACTCTGATTTCCTAACGCCTAAAGAATGGATAAGATAAAACAAAAAGACAACAGATCCAAGGTTGGCTTAAATAAGAGTTTATAAACAATAAATTCCTCAATACTAATTATCTGCTGGATCTGTATTCTGACAGAAGAAATATGTAAATGAATCCATTACCATAAAGATATTCATGGACCCAGAAAGACTTTAATTGTTTCATCATTCCACTGGATTTAATAGCAAAATTAATAAATAACAATAAACGGGACAATGACATGGGATAACAAAGACCATTGGGTGGATCTTTTCTAAAATAAAAGTTGAGAAATTCTGCTGCTTAAAAGTTTATTGCTTGAAGAAATACTTAGCTATTTCTGATTAAAGGGAGAAATGGCAGTGCTAGAGATAAACACAACAAGAAATTTAGAACAGACCAATGCATCTACAACAGAAATCGCCCAAAGAATTTATTCTCTAAGACGACGAAGTCATGAATTAATTTCAGTATTTCATGGTTTACATTTCAGAGAACATGTTTCAAATAAAATTTGGTACCCTAGTTTGAAAGTCATTCTACATTCTACAAAACATTTTAGATGTGTTCTTGGTACTAATTTTCAACTTTTAATTAAAATAGAATTCATTAGTAATCTTTTAAAGTATACAGAATACAAAATACAGTTATTTGTAAAATAACGTTTTGAAACTGCTGTGACAATCTAGAAAAACCATAAGGCAACACTGCCAACTTTAATTTCTGAGTGCTTAATTTAGAAAAAAAAAAATCACTTTTCTGTCACAGAAAAACATGAATAATATATTTTGATATTTACTGATAACTAAGAAAACGCTATAAGGATGTTAGAAATACTCTCTTTCTTTTACTATAGCTTATAGTTATAATGGGTTTGAGAATACAGCAGAGCTTCAGGCCCATCTCCTGCAGACCTGCACCACCTCCTCTTGTATGCATGCTGTCTGCTACCAGGTCAATCTCATTTGCAATTTTGTTCAGTTCTTATGAAAGGAGAAACAATTGTGGCTGACTTATTGGATGTGAATTTGGTTTGATCCAGCTATAATGCTTTGGCTGCAGAAGTCCTTGCACCAGCAACACGTGCAAAAGTGGTAAGCTGTCAACAATACACCGGGAGGGGAGGGGAAGTGGTAGGAAAGAAGAAATATATTTTAGATCAATCTTGCAAATCCTAGAAACAAGGGAACAGCTTCCCAAACAGTCAGATCAATGAGCCCCTCCAGCTGTTAACTAAGCATATATGAATATTGCAGGCATACTCATAGGTACGAGAACATAGACCATGCTGTTTGGAAAGAGTCATTTAGCTTACCTACACCACCAGCCACGAGAATTTTCCCCAGGAATAAGAGAAAGTCTGTAACTTTGTCCAGGACTGCAACTCTGTTCAGCAAAGGACAAATGATGCATAATCACCACAAACCAGAAATTTGTATTCGTTCTCCTTAAATCTATGGATGATTGACAAAACATGACCAAGAAGCTGTCTTCTGGTTTCACAGGCTGACAATACAACGATGCAGAAACACAACACTGAGATGGGCTTTGTTACAGCCTAATCCCATAAGGCAAAAAAGCACTGAGACCCTTGTGGAGTTATGTCTTAATGCAGCAACACTTCTACAGCACTTGAAGACTGTTTATTGCTCTTGCTGGTTAAAAACCAAACCAAAACACCACAATATTTTTATTTCAGCCTTTCTTCTAGGGTGACAGACAAGCCAGCCCAGAAGAGGCAAAGTTCATACCAAAACAAAAAGCAGCATTTGCGTAGATTTCTGGTAGGTCTTCTTTTCACTTGGTCCTATCTGGCCACATTTCACAACCCCGTAATATGCCAAATCTACTATTTTAAACTATTTTAAGATACCAAGTACCTTTGGTACAACACCAAAGGGAGGAGGCCTCAAAGCAGGGAGATGATCACAGCTGAATGAAAGGAGACAGAAAATTTGACAGTAAATCTGCAGCCCTCATTGAAAGCAACAGCAGGTAGTTTCTGCACGAAACCCTGCCAGCCTGCCTTATCGGAAACTGCAGGTAAACAATGGGATGGAAAATGAGCTTTGTATCATCAGCCACTTGACAGCGCAGAAGGCTATGGATATGGTAATACACAGCACTGACTACCATGAAAGATAAACGTAAAGAAAAATTAAAGAGAACAAATCATCGTTAACCTGTCAGAATTCAGAATTAGCAAAATACACAAGATAAAAACATCTCCATTTGAAACAATTAAGTTATACGCCTGGCTTTCAGCTATTGCTCTTACTGCTTAAGAGTAAAAGCACAATGGACAGTGAGGTGATGTTCTGAAAGGAAACAAAGGCAGCTTCTCTTTCCTATTGCACAGGCACTACACGGTTGGACACCACTGTACCGATATTAACGGTGGTGCAGGGTAACAGAGTGAATGCACTCCATTCTCCCATCTTCAATTCTTTCCTCCTCTTCTTAAGCACCATTTCAATTTTCCTCTTTCAGCCTCCCCATCCATTCCTCTCCTCCTCCCAGTCCTTCACTTAATAATTTAAACCACCTAACCAGTTTTACTCTCTCTCTTGCTTGGTAATTAGATTGTCTGCTATTGTATCAACATGGCCTGCTCCTAAGTTATTCACCCATTACTTTTTGATCTCACAGTAGTTCAGGAAGAGCCAGGAGCAATGAAGAAAACTACCGATGAGAACAGGGAGTTTGGCAGCAGTCTTGGTAGTGGGGAAAAGGGCCAGGGGAGTTCCCAGCACGAGACGAGATCTGGTTATGTTAAAGATACTGGCTTTGAAAGCAAACTATTCTCTCTTCTTTACTGCCACTCTCTGACACCCCATAAGCTTTCTGGATGAATCTGAGGACTTAGGTCTTCCTGCTTTCCTTTTCACAGACAGTGAGTGTACCCAAGCTCAAGAAACAAGCCATCCAGCAGATGATGAGCACCCCACTCCTGTATGTCTGTAGATCTCCTCTCAGGGGTTTCCTTGTTGGCACTATTACAATCTACCGGGTGCTTATGAATTTAAAGGAGCAATCACAACAAAACTGTAGATTATATCAACTTTGCATAAGTTACTGTGCTGGGCAGCCTGCTGTTACACACTGAGTGTTACAAGTGAGGTCCATGTCTGAGCACAGAAGCAGCTTACAATAATATTTGGAGGAGACATGGGAGAGGAAAGAAGCATGTCTTCAGAGTGCAATAGCAGGAAATCCTGACATTTCCAAGGACTGGGAGACGGCCCCTTACCTCACCACATTCCGCATGAGCAAAAAGAATGCTTCCTTTGCCGAGGTGCAGAAATTTTTACCATATATGGCGATCTGCAAAATAATAGTAGCTGTTACGTATTTTAAATAATTCCAACACCTCCTCACATGCCAGAATCTTGCTGCGTGAGATGCACAGTTCTCTCTCAATATGTGGCTTTGGAACTCAGATGAACATACAGCACTTCCCTGAGTCAACTGCTACCTCTCAATGCTTCCCACCAGGCTAGGACAGAACATTATCCATCTTTCCCCTTCAAATCACCTGGTGATGAGCATGCCACCCCTTGTGATCTCGCAGGCAGCAGACTCAGTACTTAGTTTCCCAAATGAGGTACTTGCTTCCCACTTTGCCAGTTACCTATACTAGATTTATACAGTGGAAAGGAACAGGCATTTGTAGAGGAGAAGCTGACCACTGTAGGTATCTCCTTGGACCTGATGCTGCTCTCACTTAAGAAGAAATCAGCAATACCAATATCAAAGTCAGTGGATTTACATCAGCATAAAGTAAAGCAGCTAAAGTTATTCAGGAACAAAACCATTTCTTCTTCCTGGAGTAGTGTCCACAAGGGTAAGGTATATTAGAACAGCTCTTAGTGCAGTCAGTTTACCAACTGTAAATAAGATAGTCAAAAAGCATACTTCCTCTTCAAGATGGCATTAATTTGAAACATTAATTGCATGACCATGGGTTATAATGGACCCAGTACAGCCACCTCCTTTGAGACAAGTCCATGACCATACCATTCAATCACTGAAATTGCTTCAAGTAAGAACATCCTAGGCTGAAATCTGTGTATGTTTATTTAGGTGAAAATCTGGAATTTCTCTTTTGGAAGCTAAGAAGGGTTGTTTTAGAAAAACATCACTGCTGCTGCTAGTAAAATTTGTGCTTTTAACTCCCAGGAGGAAACAGAGATACCACATGCCGTCTAAACTCCTTATTCAAACACTGCGTCCAAACAGAAGTGTGTCATCAACATGCAATACAAAACAAGTTAATATCCCTGTTGAAATCAGGATTTCAGTTGCTGAATCAGAGGGGGAGTTAACCAGTTACATCATCCCTTCCCAGTTACTTTGGAGGGTGAGGGGGATGGACAAGGACAGGCATGGAAAAAGCTTGCGTTTAGAAGAAGAAAAAAAAAAGATCTTACTTTTTCATTGGTTGGACCCCATGCATTTCCTGAAAACTCCCACAAATCCCATTATCTAGTCAGCAGATTCTAGTACTGCTGGCTGTTGACCAAGCAGTAGTGGCTAAGGTATTTTAGTGTCCCAGATAGGGGAGACCACATGCAGAGACAGCACATACCATGATGTAGGCATTTCTGTTTATAAATTTTAAGAATTTTTCCAAACACCAGAAACAGCATTTGAGGCAGCAGAGTAGAAATCTAGTGAAGGAGTTCTGTGTACCTGAAAAAAAAGAAGTACATCATACATAGAACTCATGAACAGACTTCATAACATAGAAAGCTATTCAGAAAAAAAAAAAATCTTCAATTGTGACAAAAGCAGAAACATTTTTTCTTTTCTTCTAGGTATGGACTCTCTTTCTCAACCAAATTTAGCTGCATGAACTTTGCATTAAGTTCCCAAGGACATAGACTCAATTTGAGTAAATCAGCACAAATTCACTGGCTTCAAATGGAACTACAATGGCTAAGAATAATGTGGAATTAATCTCTCTTCATTGCTGAAAAAACATCTTGGGAAAGTAAGGAAGTAATTTAATTTACCAAAGGAGGTCTTAATAACTTAGACCAGACTCATAAATCTGACCTTTCAGTTTGTGATCCAAGTACTCCAGTATTACTCTAATAAGCTGGACAATTGCAAGAATTAAGGCTCCAAATGCCAGTGAACCTGTATGGTACCTAAAACAAAATAAATGACTGTTACGTTGTGCATATGTGTGTATGTACAATTATATATGTATGTGCATGTGTGTGTGTATATATAAATAGAATAATAACCGGAAGAAGGTCTATTAGTGTGGATTACCTATACTAATGGACCTTCATCCTCATCCGCCAGAGAGGAACAGGATGAAGCCATCGGTGCTGTTGGTGTTTGTCTCAGTGGTGTGCTTGCCTGTCTGTTGATCTGTGTGGCCAGCTGTGTATATGTGTTGTAAACATGTATTTGGGTGCATGCACCTACTGGGAATAGTTGCTCAGCCTTGTAACTGCTTGGACCAGAGGGCATGGAGCTGCAGCAGCCTTGCTGCTATTAGGCTACAGGATTCAGCCTCCCCCTAACACCAGACTTTCCTGATTGTGCTGGTTTTGGCTGGGATAGAGTT